TAAGACACAAAGAAGATATTTTTTCATTTTGCTTGTACCTGATTTCCTGGGGGAACTGCGCATTGGTTACCAAGAAACTGGAGATCTGATGGTGGTGGAGGAGGCGAATGAAGTTGTTGATTTCAGGATACATGATTGGTTCACCAACCAAGGACAGGGCGCAGTGCTTGACTGCTAGGCCCTCCTCATACCTGTCAGGCTTTACTCCAGGGACACCTAGCAGGAGAGACATCAATATCTGAGTAGATCATAGCTGTCAGACACAAAAAACAACTGTGTGAAGCAATAGACTGAGGTGAGGTTTTGAACTGAAGGCTGTTTTAGCGATTACCCATTGTAACAGGGCGGCCCTTAGCGGCTGGAAACACAGTGAGATGGACCAAGGCAAGTGTAGTGGGGAACAAAAAGTATTTATTTGCTATACAGCTCTCCTTACAACAATTAACTCGTCGAGCTTCTTCACAGCACAATCAACCCCTCTAATGACAACCGGCAGCCTTAAATATGTTCAGCTGTCACAGACTAAACCATTATTCCACTCTCAGGTAAATTATTAAATCCCAACCTTCCACCACAATACACAATATATCAATTAGAATAAATCAATACATAAATACATTTCACATTTTCATATTAATAAATAGTTCACACTTTAATTTTACACCAAACCCAATATTATAAAACCCAAAAACCCAAGCACAAAAAGATTCACCACACTCTCTTAACCCATGGGGCCTGGACCCCATGGGTAACATTTGCCCAAACACCTTGAAGAGGACACAGGCAAGAAAGATAAGTAATCATTATCTTACAAACACTTATTTGCACCACTTTTATTCCTAGATTTCACACACACACATTTGCATTAGTTTTCCTTACTGGTAAACTTTAATCACAATCACCATTCTTCTCTCCTCACAGACAACCACCACATTCCTTGATGAGGAGCAGCTGTGCAGGATCTGAAACAAGGCTACCAACTGATTTTAAAATTCCCAATAAATAGTCAATAAATAATTAAACTTCTTGTGTGCAAATGTTTTACTGTGCAAATCCATGCTTAAAGTGCAATGCTAAATAAAGTGCTTGATAAGGTGCTTTTAATAAAGTGAAAGGTGTGCTCTAAAGTGCTATACAGATAATATAATATAAATAAATGTAGTAAGGGAGTCCTCTTCCTTACACCCATAACCAAAGAGTCACAAGAAAGAGATGTGAAGATGAAAGAAACAGCAGAAGATGAACAAGAGAGATCTAGGGCTTGACACATCTTCATTTCAACTCTTAATCCTAGGCTCTTAAACAGTTAATCCATTTCCTTCAAAGTGCTGCATAACAGAAGATCCATAGAATAAACTGCAAAAAATAACCACAGTAATGGTTTTAAACATTCACCCAATAGACAGTTGCTCATATGGTGTTTTGAGAGCATGGCGGAGAGCATTGTATAATAGATGGATCTAAAAAAAATTCGTTTTCAGCTGTGTTGAGATATCGAAGGACACAAACCATGCTAAAATCTATATCCATCCACCTATTCATCTAAAATTGAAATAAGAATGTTGACGAATGAAATCAAAAACACTGAAAAGAGCAGGAGAGATAATGTGAAGTATGTAGGTATATGAATGATTTAATCAGGCTAAGTTTGCTTTTGGGATTCCAGCCTGGAAATGGAAATGGTATAAAGTATTAAAAGCAGTATGACACTGCAGGAATTTGTAATAAAGGGAATAAACAAACATGAAAATGGTATCAGAGAATATTGAAAGGGTTTAATGTGATATTTCTCAAGCCAGAACAGAAGACATTTTTAGACTAAATTCAGGAAATCTTACAGAAAATTTTGACATATGAATCATGAACATTTTTTTTAAATAACTCGGTAGCTAGTAATGCAGAGAGCAAAGAAAAAAAATCAGTATTTGTTGCTTTTAAACACTAATATGTGTGTCTACACACACTTTTTTTCAAGATCTTTGAAAGACAGAAGATTCTTCAGCAGATTTAGGAACTCTTAGTTGCTTCTGTCTCTTCATGTAGCCCCAGATTGACTTGATGATGCTAACATCAGGTCTAGGGGGGGGCACCATCTGTTCTAGGACCTCTGGTTATTCTTGTTGCTGAGAATAGTTTTTAAGAGTCTGGCTGTATGTCTGGAGTCAATGTTATGACACTGCACAGTATCATTACAATTTAATTTGGTTATCCTTGCAGGCTTCTTTTCTGAGTTCAATTTGCATAAGAGTTGAGTATACTGAAGGCTTTGTCATGATACTGTCCACTCAAATCAGTGCATCTGCAACTTTACATTATGAAAAGGGTACAGGTTAGTTCAGTATGCATGAATGAAGAAAGACATTTCATGTACTGAAAGTGCCATGCTGTTGTAGCAGGGAATGACATTACAAGATATTTAATTAATGTGCTGACTTGTCTGCCAAAGTAAACTTCACCAAGCTTCTGTTGCACAGTGACATAAATAATTGTGTAAATTGTAACAAACTGCCTAGAGTGTAGAATTAAGTGGGACAGTTAGATAAATACTGAATACAGGATAGGTATCACTAATAGTTTGGCGTTCATAATGCTTGGTAATGAAAATGATTGAGATTAGATACTCGTTTGCAACAGTGCCCTCTTTGACTCCTGCAGTTGACACACAGCTTCACACAGAACTTGCAGATAGACAGTCACATAACCACTCCCCTCACAGTTGACATGAATTTTGAGAGGTCATCAAAGCTCCTATTTTAGAAACACTGAAGAATTAAACAGTTGTCACAAATGTTAACTTGCCTGGAGCATACGTAAATGTTAGGCGCTTAATTATCATCAATTACCCAATAGCCATTAACCTAGCCTCAGGGGGGTCATAGGCTAGTAGACTATGCATCCCATAACTGGGATGGTTGCATCAGGAAGTGCATCTGGTATAAAACCTTTGACAAATCAAAGGTACTTTCAGAACAGCCTTTGTCAAACAGCCACATAAGCTTCCTGTTAAGTCATCATTAAGGTAACAACTAGCAGCTATGCTCATCCATAACGTTATAATTAACAGTGTTAATTTAACAGCACAGAACAAATATTCGTGTCATGCAGAGGTTGAAGCTGAGAAGCCTACCAGGAACTAGACAGAAATTGTTGCAGCCTACCTTTCTATTTGATCAGCAATAAAGGTTTGGTGCAACGCAACCAGCAACAGCTCTACCTCAGACAAGCTAAAATGTTGGTGTCTGTTTGGGTTTTTTTTGGCACTATGTAAGGTAATCTTAAAATATCCCATTTACACACCTTATAGATTTTTTGTTTTTGTTTTTTTCCCAAATGGTATTGAGTATTTTCCTGGGTACTGATATCAAGCTTGAGATTGTAGTATCGTTGCAATCCTAATGCGTGAAGAACACAGATTTATTCCTAGATGCAGTCATCAAGACAACATTACAAAGAATACAAACAAACTCAACAAGCAGATCCCAGGGTAATAAGCTAACGTTTATGCTTTTAAACTACAAGTAATAGCTCTCATTATAAATTGTGCCTGACATTAAAGTGCTACTTGATGAGACCTTTTATTCAGTAGCCCATCATGGAGTCAGAGCAGACACCAAGCTGCTTAATCACACTGAAGGTTTTGTAAGCCACTGTCTGGGGACTTCATTGTGCTAGAGAGAGTAAAATGTATCACTGTCAATTGTAAAAGAAGTTGAAGGCTGCATAACGTGGTCTTACAGTGCAACTGGAAAGAAGATTATGGATGATGATGACAATAGAAGCTTGTGCCTTACTTTAGTATGCCTCTAATTAGAATTGCAAAGTTGAAAATATACGTATTCTATCATTTTACTGTAATGTCTTTTGTGAGATATTGGGGGGGTTAACTCTAAGAGAAATATGAAGGCGGCATTCAGGACAACCATTGGTATGCTATTGTTCTTTTGCAACCACATCAAGAAAAAATTATTAGATTTTCCATGATGATGTGCGTTATATATATCCTTAAACTCAGCTCTGAGAATCATATTAACTATAAAATATCCCCTTTGAAGAAGATACGTCTCAGAGGTTTTTTGCATTTGGTATTTATATCATTTCACGAGCACAATGTCTGCAGTGTTTTATAATGGGATCAGCAGCAGCTTTGAGGTTAGAGAGGCAGCTCTCTGACCGTAAAGTTGCAGGATCAGGCCAGGCCTCAAGAATAGTTGGCTGGACCGAGGTCCTACATGCCGGCCTAGCAATCATGTGAATATTTTATTTATTAGCCATACAATATCATATTACATAATGCAGGTAAGTGTATGGTGTCAGTACTGACTTGTACATGAGAATAATAGAAAATAAGATGAAGAGTTTAACTGGAAAGATGCTGGTTTGGGCTTGATGGGAATGGTCTCTGCAAGTGTGTTTATGCTAACTAGAGTCACAACAGACTGTACGGACAGAGTAACATCCAGTGTTTAGCAGAATGCAGTTTGGAATGGAATAATGTAAGACTGTATTTCTGTACCACAGCTGACACTCGAGAGCAAGAGTCTGAAAAACATTTGAAAACACTTTTGTCTTTAACAATATGGTAATAAATTTATCCGCATTTCTGAGCTTGTCACAAAACAACAAAACAGATGCAAACACATTCTTGACTATTAATTATTCACAATTGTTTTATCTAGAAAAATATAAAAACATTCATACATTTAGCTTCTCAAATTGTTATTTTATATCACTGTAAATCAAATGGCCCACACATACATGAAAAACTTAAGACATCTTTTTGCTAGGCCTTTCCACTATATTTTAAATAATATATGACTGTTTAACACAGACAATATAAAATATTCTTACATTTATGTGTAAGAACATTGCAGTATAAGCATTGTTTTATTCTTACAACTAATTAAGGAGTAACTTAGTCTGAACTCTAACATAATTTTGCTGATTACCTTTAAATCCACACGAGGAACAAAATATTTCTGTTTAGAATTAGTTTGCCTTACTTAACGTCTGATAAATTTGTCACCACTATGTTTTGACAACATTTCTGAAAACCTCAAAGAAAATCTGCTTGGGGCATACACACAGGATCAGTAAATTCTGTTTGGACTGAGCTTTGAGAGGCCAGCCAGCCGTTCTCAGCCAAAGCTGGTAGCAGCCAGAGAAAAAGTCCCAAATGCCAGCAATATTAGTAAAAGCAGTAGAAGCATAGTCCAGAAAACGGGAGTACAAATAGGTTTAAATCTTTGATTTCCAATTACTAACTTAGATACCTCAAATGTTGATAAGTTTTAAGAAAATAAAGAGTGGAGTTGTTACAAACAGGACTTTGAGGAGGTGAAAATCAAAGATTGCATGCACTGTGTCTCTGTGGATCTACGAATGAAAAGTGATTTATGAGCGAGGAAAGCAACAATGTGATGAAACAGCTCATCAGCCCCACAGATCATCAGCACTTGCATGTGAACTTTACGTCATTAAGTTTAAAAGAATTCATAAGTTCCAAGCTGAAGACCTTAAGGAGAAAAAGTGCAAAACAGGGCTTATTCTTGCACACTTTTTATGTGACTATGTTCATTTTAACAAAGAGAAAGACAACCTATGATGAACACTTTCAATCATAAGCATAAGTAAACAGACAAATAGCCAGACAGACATTCAGAAAAAACATGCATGTTGTTGTTCATGTTTGCATGTGTCACCTGCTCAAAGCCTAACCTCTGAATTGTCGAATCATGTTCTGGTGCTTTTCCAGGGCATCCTCCAAGATTTTCTCTGCAGGATCCATTTTCCAGCGCCATTCAGTGCCGACAGGGTTGGTATGATGTCTGTTAGTGGAGCAAAAACATGAATAAATAGGAACTAACAGCAGTCAAGATGTAACTGCTTCAGCAAGCACCAACCAAACGTAGCAATACAGCAAACTAAATATTAATCAAAGAGCAACCACTGTAGCCTTAGAGATGGTATTACCTTCTTTGGAGACATGCTTCTGGAGCATAAAAAGGAAAATGAACACTGCTTGTGCCTACAAATGGAATAAATGGCCTAAACAATAAACTGTAAATATGGGCTCCAAACCAGCTTCAGTACAAACAAAGGACATTACACCTCATCGGTGGTATTACTCCATGGTAATTCTGATTTATAAAGTCCAAGACTATTAGACCGTTTGTTTAACACAAACATCACTTAAAAAGTTAAAGACATATTTCACTAGAATAAAAGGAGCATTTAACGAGGTGCCAAATGCTAAGACTCAAGTTATTTACTCACAGATTGAAAGTGAATTATGTGGGCGTGTGTATTACCACCCTATAAAAACATATTAAGTGAAAGAATGCATGCTACTGTAAAAAAAGTGCTCTTCCTTTGGGTGTTAATAACACGTTCCAACTATCCAAGTGTGATGTCTACGTGCAACACCAAATCCTGGGGCATCACATTTCTGTCAGATAAGTATGCACACTCTAACGTGACATATTCTGACGGCGTCCATGAAAATCTTGCTCCACCTGTTGCCACAAAGAGGTGGATGGTGGAGGCAGCAGGAACAAAGCAGCTGTGCCCCGAAATTGCTTATTTCCTGTCATCCCACATAGCTGTAGTAAGGGAGACGGGCAGATCTGTGTTGACAGGGCAGCAGTTCACCACAGCACATTCTGACAGCGACCTTTCAGTGCTCAACACAGTCGCCTTTTCAAATGAAACTTGAAGTTAGTAAAAGGCCCAATCTCTCACTAATGCCACGATGAATCAGTGTCCACATTTAGGCCTTGCAGCTATGCAGACCATTATCCATCTGCACATAAAACATGAACTTCTATGGAACAGCGAGATCATCAACAGTGACTGGACTAAACTGTAAATGGGTTTGGTTTAAAAAAAAAAAAACCCAAACCTACAAGTTAGTAACCAAACAGGCTAAAACTAGTTAATATATAGCAAAATAAAATCACTCCTAAAAACAGGAAAACACATGTTGGAGTTATACCTTATATACAGTTGTGTAGCAATGGACAGTTAAAGTGATGGGAATAGGGCTGTTCGATATAACGATATATATCGGATGAAACGTCTATCGTTTCATTTTACGCTATTGTTTGTTTCGTGGTGTCGCAAAATAAACTGTTTACGGCAATATTTTTTCATCGTTTTGATCGTCACTGTAGTGGCTATATTAATTTCTTAAAGTTCTCTCTTTCTCTTATATTTTATATAACTACACTATGGACGGACAAGCGCCTGTTTTTATGTGTTCTGGTTAGCAACAACGACGGTAACACCTTCGAGTGTCCGCTTGTTTATGTTCCACATAAACCTTTCACAATAAAGCTCAAGATCCTGTTGAGACTTTTCAAAATAAACTGAATCACGTGAAAGAGCAGATTATTTACGGATGAGAATTAAAAAAGAGCCGCCAGGTGCTAAACAATAAACCTTAGACTCAAATGTTAGAACAGGCTTTTCCCCGCAGCACGCCGTGTAATAATTACTCACAAAGAAAACGGCGGCCGTTACAACTTATGTCTAAAAATGTATAGTTTCATGCATCGGTTAAAACACTCGACTCCAGCTACATGACGCCCAGCTGGAAACACTTCCTGCAAGTCGAGCTGCCCGAGATTCACAGAATTTACAGAACATGTTACATTTTTGTGATTTATATCGTTATCAGACGATAGAATTCTTATATCGGGATATGAGATTTTGGTCATATCGCACAGCCCTAGATGGGAAGCATAAAGCCTGTACCCAGAAGGACTAGCATCTTAATTAAATCACAGTATAAATAAGACATGTACTCAACTAGGGTATTAATATTGTTAGGCTGAAAGATTAACTTTTATTTGGATCACTTAAGATTCTCCTTAATGATGGCAAACTAAAAGAGAAGAAGTTGAGAAGCACATACCTCCAGCAGAAGACACACTTGTTAGCACATGCGAGGCTGGGGGTAGTCTCCATGCACCGGTGGGACTCGATACCGTAGAAAGTGTGCTTGTAACAACCTCCCCTTCCTCTCAACATAGACTAAAAAAAAATAAATGAATTACAATTCATGCATTCAGTTTGTCAAAGCTGCAATAGAAATTTGATATAATTTAAAGGAAGTGGTTTAACGGTTTATTTAAAAGGGTTGATTTCTTTACCTTAGTCCATCGACAAAGCTTCACTCCTGAGTGACTCCCAATCAGTTTATATCCTTCACAAAAAGGTAAAAACATGTTATAAATACGGCATCAAATCAGTGAAACACTTCACAATGCAGAAATGCACAAGTCAAATTAAGCTGAAAGAAACATGGACAATATACTTTTTATAGCTTTACTTCAGTAAAGCCTTTCAACATTCACAAAGTCAGATTTTTTAATGGCCCCATGCTAACAGCCACTGAACATCTCCAACAAAGTGTCTACTGGCTGCTTGAGGCCATGTCATTGGGAGAAAGGAGAGAATGCTTCAGATTCCCTTTTTGCACAAAAAGGTCTGTGAAGAAAGTGTTTCAAATGCCATTGAGGTGGGCCTCTCTATCCCTTTTAACACCATGGCATCAAACCACTATGAACAGCCGGATGTGGATTTCTCCTCATTCTCCCTCATTAAAAAAATAGAAAAGAAAAAAAAAAAAACCATCCCGCTCTATAATATCTGTCAGATGGAATCCTTTTATCCTCATGACTTGACGCGTTCATGAAATCCCAGGAAAAAACACAAACAAACAAAAAAACATAACATGATAGATTAAAGAAGAAGGGCTGCCTTTCCTTTTCAAAATCATTTAAAATAGCTTTCTAGTAAGTACAGCAGTACAAAGCCACACAAAGAATGTAGGCAGCAAGTTTAAAAAACAAAGCCTCCTCTTTTGGAAGCTTGTGTGTGTTGTAGCTGCTATTAAAACCTTCATGAAATATCTAAAACACAAAAACACAGCAGGACATCTGTACCGGGGTGTGTTTGTGCTCCCACAGATCTCAGGTTTGATGCTAGATTAGTCAAATACAAAATGTTCCTCATTGAGGCTGTTTGTGGGTATATTTGCAGGAAAGGCTGAATGAATGAAATACACTTTTTTGATTTTTACACTTCAATGTAACAGCTTACCACTGAACAAGAGTCATCTTTTCACACAGTAACAAAAAAACTGAGCGCAGGTCTACAAGACTACAACACAGTAGTGAACTGGACCTGCTATTAGTGACTTTAACAAGAACAATGATTAGCTTTGTGTTTGTGTCATCTCCATGTACTGTATATAAAAGATGGCATGTCTTCTGAATATGAAAAATGAAGTGATGCCATGTGTCTCTCAGTTCTTCCAGTGAGAGCCTCTCCTCACCATCATGTCAGGTTTAAAACACAAGATGACGACGATGAATATGCTCAATTCACATTAGACTTCACAAACCAACAGTTGATGTCACAGAGAATGTGTCCGTCTTTTTAATACACTCTATGATAACTGCACCATTTCAGAGAAACAGCATCGGAGAATATGAAAATTATAAACACAGTTTACACTCATGTGATACTCTGTCTTTCACTCTTGACCTGCTTGAGCTGAATGAAAGGAGCAGGGAGACGATGGCCTAACTGCTCTTCCACCAAGTAATGAAAGAGAC